TAGGCCCAAGGATTATCATACGACTGTTTTCAGGTTAAAGACGAATCATGGCCTTTGGGGAAGTTATTTGTCTAGGATCGGGTTACAGACATCTCCCAACTGCCCAACTTATGACTGCCCATCATCAAACCCTGGAAAAAAAAATAGGATTCCGGTTGGACTCCTGATAGAGCACTGCCGCCTAAAAGGGCACATTCACCGGTAGGTGTACGACAAAGAAGAAACAAAGTGCAGATAATGCCAGGAATAAAAGCAGTCCGCAGAACATTGCTTCCCATATGTTCGGTTGTCCTAAAAAGGATAATGAGGACTTTAACGTCTGCACCTGGCCTATTCGGCCTTATCGGACGTTTTGATTTACAAGCTGAGAGCTGACGCACCTCCGCATACGACAGAATGGTGTTACTGCAAGACAACTTCGCTCTCCGCTTTCCCATTCCGAGTGGTCGGGTCCGCATTAAGCATCGAACCGTATGCCGCGCGCAAAGGGCTACCTAACCCGAAATACATCAGCCTGGTCTCCCGCGCACTCCCTAGATAGAGAAGGCCAGTCTACCTCCCAGAGTAGTGGGTCTTCCCTAGGGTAGAAACTACCGGATCCGCATCGGCCGCGGTTTATTTAAAGTGGAATTGCTATCCACCCCCTAGAGAAGACCGCCTACGGGAAAAGCCTCCAATCGAGCTCAGCCTACACCTTTGTACAAAGCATACTCGAGTAGGGGCAACGATTCACTAACCGTTCCCATCCACCACTACTCACGCATTCGAGGGACTTTTCAGCATAATCATAGCGGCCTCAACGCATATACGCTGCCGTCCATGCCGACCCGAGTACTGCTTGTGCTTTAGAAAGGTTGCAAAGCCCTCAGGGCTACACCATAATTTTGCGCCAGGACACCCCCCTTGTAACCATGGGTTGGAGGGGTCACAGGAAACAATGAAGGAACCTGGAGTGAGAAAGGATGAGGTACCCTTTCTTGGGCCCCAAGCCTTAACCACATTGTACCACCCGTCGTCGAGGAGTCCGCAGAAAAAATTCTATGTTTTTGTGAAGGTCTAGGTAAGTGCAGAGTCTTGCACTAGGAAAGGAAATGCTGCAAGATCTTACACTAAGTAGCCGCTGACAAGGCAATGAAAGTTGATTAACATCATGAAGCAAACCAATTTATAAAATTAGAGAAGCACACTAGAATTACACATGTTGACTTTGTGGCCACCTCTTCTATCTTTATTATCTACTGCTCATTTTTTGTTGTAACTCATTAAATTTCGTGGCCCGATTGAACAAATAACTTCTTTCAATTAATTATTCTTTATGGTATTGGTTTAGATGAAAAAGCCAGTGTCACGAGCGGGATTCGAACCCTCGACCTTCGGCTAAATACGCCGCTGCTCTACCACTTGAGCTATCATGACTTCGATCCACTCGGACACCAACTCCCCACCCCAACCCACAGCCCTTCGAATTTTCCCTCCTTTTTGCCATTTTTCAAACGTCGTGTAATCAGGATTCGATTCTCAGCGACATATGAAGTAGCCACGGGGAGCTGTTGAAGTTATATTTCGTTTTACTTAATAAATCCATTATATTTAGTGGTATATTGACCAAATTACTTCTTTCAATTAATTAATCTTTATGTAAGGTATTTTGTTATAACCTTATTAGGTTATTACAATTTATAACATAGAGGTTATCTGTGTATGTAATTATTTTTTAAAATAAATTGTTCTATTTTTTTTACTGATCACGGCAAAACAATGAGCGTAGAAAAAAATCCGATTCAATTACGAAGACTTTCATAAATCTTATTTCGACTAGAAGTAGTTTAATTTTTTGAGAGTGACAGAAGGCGGAAGAACAGAAACAGGAAGTGTTTCCAAACTACCCCGGTTTCAATAAGCCTTTTTCTCTTACCGGATTGTCCATTTACTTGTTCCCGATACTAGACGAAGTACTGTAAACATTTTAAACTAGGCTTCTGAGACGATGACGTAAGAATATTTTATTGGTGTTGCGGCATCGACGTAGGATGATGGGCTTATCGAAATTCCCTTTTATCTACACAATCCCGTTTCCCTTTCGGCAAGAATTTGGGTCAAGTTCTGTTGGTAAATGTCTTTTCTATCCCTTTTAAGCTAAACCACAATGCTTTCAAAAGCAGTTATTAGGAAACAATTTCAAATTGCGCTATCCTTTATTGTAAGAATCAACATACCATTACTTATGGTTAGAGATGGTTATGGTTACTTACGGCTATAACCATTACTTATAATTTAATAATAAAGAGTCGTCCAAAAAGCGAAGTTGTCACATTTCTCAATCTGTTTTATCGGATTTTCAAAATTTTAAAGTATCACAAAAAATTGCTTAAGCGTACCAATGCATAGGCACAAAATTTAAAACTATTTGTTGAAAAATTAAAAAAAAAAAACAGTCTGCTTTGTTGCCTTTTGAAAACACTACTTTTTGTTTATTGGTGCTAACAGTACACACCAGTACTGTTGAATATCTATATAATATAAAAAATACTTTTATAACATAATAGTCGTAACAATAAATATATAATAACTAAATAATAATTTTACGGAATTTAAGTCGGACACTCTCTCTCTCTCTCTCTCTCTCTCTCTCTCTCTCTCTCTCTCTCTCTCTCTCTCTCTCTCTCTCTCTCTCTCTCTCTCCACATCTCCACTTTTTGCTCTCTCTTTCTTTCTACTCGTTCTCTTTTTCTCTCTCCCTCTTTTCCTTTTGTTTTCTCTCTCTTTCATTGTACTCTTTCTCTTTTTCTCTCTCACTATTTTCCTCTTTTTTGGTCCCTCTTTCTTTATACTCTTTCCCTTTTTCTCTCTCATTCTTTTCCTCTTTTTTGCTCTAGATAGATAGATGGAAAGATAGATAGATAGATAACATGCTTTATTTACATTAAAGAGAAGCATTACATATTATACAATATTAAAAGCAATTTACAGCATGGATGCTTATCCGTCTGCCGGAAGTTGGCTATTGTTTTTCAAGCGAGCGAAAAGTAAAAAATAAAAATAAACTATATAATAATGGTAATAATAGAAAACTATAAGTAAAAACGANTAACACGGACTCCAAAATCCAAGCTAGACGGGAGATCATCCAAGAATAAGGAAAAGAGTAAAGGGCTTAGGACACATCCTTGTCTCACACCACAAGATACCTCCTGATCCCCTGACCGCACTCTTAGTCTGTGAGAAAATTGCCTTCACGACCCTTATAAACTGACTAGATACTCCCAAATAACCGAGTTTCGGAAAGAGGGCTCTTCTATCAACACAACCGAAAGCCGCCCTGAAATCGACAAAGAAACTTCTTTAATTTTGAAAATGACAAATTAACAAGATTATGAAGAATGAATAAATTTTTTGCTCTCTCTTTCTTTCTACTCTTTCTCTTTTTTCCTCTCACTCTTTTCCTCATTTTGCTCTCTCTTTCTTTTTACTCTTTCTCTTTTTCTTTCTCACTCTTTTCCTATTTTTGGCTTTCTCTTTCTTTCTATTCTTTTTCTTTCTCTTTTCACTCTCTCTTTTCCTTTTTTTCTCTCTTTATTTTTACTCTTTCTCTTTTTCTTTCTCACTCTTTTCCCTTTTTTCTTTCTCTTTCTTTCTACACTTTCTCTTTTTCTTTTTCACACTTTTCCTCTTTTTTTCTTTCTCTTTCTTTCTATTCTCTTTTTCTTTCTCACTCTTTTCCTCTTTTTGCTCTCTCTTTTGTTTCTACTCTTTCTTTTTTCCTCTCTCAATCTCAAGAAAGTACATCGTTCATAAACGTCAAAGAATAAAAAATTACATTTTATAGTAATGAAGAATAATAAATTAAAACAATTACAAGTATAAGTTACAAAACTACTTACTTTTTCTGAATTTATCTGCCAAACTGACCATATTTGTCAATCTCACTGCCGTTTGGGTTTATTCAGATGAATCGATGAGTCGAGACGGATTAGAACTGAGTCACACCCGGTCCGCGTGTACTCGCTGTTTGTCTTCTCGGTTCTGGGTTAGAACAACCTTGGTATTTTTGTTTTTCCGGGCAACGCCAGCATTGAAATTATTGTGAAATCGCGATATTTCTCTGGGTCAACAGACACTTTGACCAATAATGCTCTTCTTTTCCCCTTTTTGGCCTATGTGATAATATCAATTTATGAAATAATTTTATTGGGGATTTACATTAAATAATTTTTTTAAATATGTCTATTATCATGGTCATCTTGTGTCTTATTCAAAAATTTAATTTAACGGAAAATCTTGGAAATTTATACCAGTTAGTCTTTTTGACTTTGACATTATGCAAATTTTTATATCGAACGTCTTTTTTAGTGTTTCAAGAATCCTTCTTTTATCCGCTAATGAGTCCTTGAAAAAAGGAATAAGGGAGCCGTGGGCAGACGTTAAGGTCCTGCCCACTAGTATTTATCGCCTTAAGGCGAATCATTCCATATCGGCTCGGATCGAGACCGATTTTCGTATTTTAAAATTCATCAGAGAGAATTAACGACACGCAAAAATAATAACGTAAATGAAAGTCACGTGGGTCGGGCTTTGCTCACTGCGAGACGTGACCAGCCTGGAGTAGGCGGAAGCGCTTTTCAATCGTGTTTATCTTGAGAAATCCCGATTCTACGATAAGTCAGCTCAACGACTTTAAAAGGGGTGAAGTTTTGTAATAACGGACGTCACAGCTTTAAAAAAAAATCAAATGTTGATTTAAGTCATAAACTTAGTGATGAGTACACTAGGCTAGTGATGACCTTATTTTGAAAGTGGTGCTCTTTAAATTAAGTTTGACAAGTAAACGAAAAAAAGTATTGCCGTAAATTATAAAAGATTGAAACTTACGAATACTTGGGAAGTTACCATAAAATAGACAAACTGATCCTACTTTAGTAGAAATATATAGAAGTAAACATTTTTGTGTTATCTAGTAGTTAAACTTTGGAAAATATTTTATTGGTTTTCGTTTGTTTCAGGTCTGTAGTGTTTGGGGCGCAAACGCGAAAATTGGTGGCTGGGATTCTTCGCCGAATACGCAGTACCACATCCAGACAGATGAAGGGCCGGAACGTTACTTCAGGTACCAGACGGTCAGTGGCCAGTACAGGAAGGAAAAGAGGCTCCAAGACGGCACCGTAGTCGGCACTTCCGGGTGGGTCGATGCCGAAGGCTTTCTCAGGCTACAGGACTACATCGCGGACGACAAAGGATACAGGATCGTTAGGACGAAGATGGTGAGGGTAGAGGCCCCTGCCCAGTCCGTCACGACTCCGCCCAAAAAGTATTCTTCTACATTACCTCCTATCTCTTTGAGCGATTACCTCAAGCAGAAGAATAAGGAAGAGAAATACGGCTCGACCCCTAAGCCCATCACACTCAGCGAGTATCTCAAAACGCCCCAAGTGGAAGTAAACAACAACGGCTACCCGAGCACGACCGCCTCTCCTCCATACTCCTCTTCGACCACCCCGGAATCGTATCCATCGACCACAGCGGAGCCGTACCATTCGACCACCCCAGGATATGTGAGGCCCGTCACCTTCCGTCCTTACTACAATCCCAATACGATAAGCTACGTCAAAAAACTCTATGATAGCGTCGGTGCCTCGAAGTACGAAGCTTCGGGTACGGAGAACGTGCCAAGGTTCAACGGCGTCGAGCTGACCCACAACGGATTCAGGTACTATCTCCCGAGGCACTACCACGAAGAGGAGAATCTCGACGGAGAGAGGAGAGCGGGCAGTTTTGGATACATCGACCCATTCGGCATCAGGAGGGTCATCTACTACAACACCTCCCCTGAGTCGGGGTTCGTCCACAGGAAAAACAACCGCTACGTCGGCTTCCAGTCGACGCCGTACGACCCGAGATACTGAGTGCCACCGATATACGACTCGAAACCAAACGAACTCGAGATAATTTATTTCTAGAGAGAGAGTAGTTTTTTCTTTTTTAAGCGACGAATGTGTGCCCAGAGACTTTGGTTCTAGCTTTAACAATGTGATAAACGCATATTTACAAGTGCGGATTTTATTTTTCTCAATGAACCCGGATTTGTCCGAAGCGTAGGATTTAGCCTTGCTTGTACGCCTGATATGGCCCACTCTTGAAAAAATACGCCCCGATCCATTTATTGTCAGATACCATGTGTGCCAACTATTATTCATTTATTTCAACGTGTCATTTTCAATCGACATGTACTGTAAATTTATAAATTTACATCTATTAGATTTTGCGCTTATTATTACTTATTTATTCATTAATTATAAAATGCTTTAGGAATTTTATATATTTATCGATCATTTTTGAAATTTACATATTTAAGTATGCAATACTGCTTTTTAGAAAAATTCCTAATTAACAAGCATGCTTCATAATTTATGCTTTGTAAACAATACATATTGGGATAAATATCTTTCAATATATTTCTCTTTATGCGGAATATTCTTATTGGAAAAATATTGTACGTTCAATTTTGCATATCATATTTGTTCGTTCAGGGCGTATTTATCTTATAGGTCCATCTGTAATTTTCATGTGGCTGGGACGATTCGTAACAACTTAACTACACTAGGTACCAAAAGAAAAGGGCCTTAACGAAATGAACGATTCCTAGTCCAAGTAACATTATTAACCTAGACTTAATTTAAGCGTGTTCCATCCTAAGGAAGTTGTCGGAAAACTTATTTAGCTGATAAGGTGATTGGTAATCAGAGCTCCAAAGGAGGGATAAGGTGCCATAAAGGACGACGTCAATCAATGTTCATTCCGCCATTTTTGGCAGAATGAACTATGGTTACATCGTCCTTGATCTTGTACAGAATATTTTTAAGCTACAATTTGTCAATAGGAAAACGAATAAACCCAACTTTTAAGTAGCAGTTATAGAAATATTGTAAGTTCATTAATTCCCCCCACAACAACAAGAAAATATTGAATTGTACTAATATCCTGTGACCTACTGTTACTCATTTAAATAAAAACAAATTTTAAACAATTTCCATTGTTTCTGCTTTCCCCGATTTCATATGTTTCAGGGCGTAATCCTTGAGGCGGATCCTTGAATTTAACGGATTAGGGCCTCCAGGGACGGAGTTTTGTTTACGCACAATGAACTGACGCTTTAATGCATTTTCCAAATTTACATACAATGTTGATATTTGTCCTAGTAATCATCGATTTTGAAGAGTAGGTTTGTTTGGTTTTTCGAAAAGTTGTCTCATTAAAAAAAAATCGAATAAAATTATCGTAATTTCAAATTGGCAGGTTTGATATTGAATAGCATACCTGAACAACTGATAGAACATAATTAAATCATAAACTAAACATGCCCTATAACATATTAAATAAAACTTTGATTTGTGTAATTTATTTCCCAAGTCATATGATCAAACAAAAATTATGGTGAATTTAAAGAATTGTTTTAATTGAAAAATAACATTATTGTTTAATTCCCTAGTTTCGTGGTCCGCTTGACAAATTAATATCTTTCAATTAATTAAGGTTTTTAGTAGCTCTACCACTTGAGCTATCTTGACCTCGAGCCACTCGGACAATAACTACCCATCTCAACCCCACCTTTCGAATTTGGAGGAGTGGATCGAGGTCACGATAGCTCAAGTGGTAGAGCAGCGGCGTATCTAGCCAAAGGTCGTGGGTTCGAATCCCGCTCGTGACACTGAATTTTTTATCTCAACTAAAAACCTTAATTATTGTTTAAATCAATCTGAAACGGATTGCGACTGAAATGGCTCGATAGTTGCAAATAAAATTATATAATGATAAAAGTATGGTTTTAAATAAGTCGCCTCAAATATGGCAAGATGTTATCCACGTTTTTTTTTATTTTTTTTTAATTTTTTTTTTTACGAGGGTGTTTACATAAAAAACCATTTGTAAGTATGTCGGGTTGGAATGCAGGGCCGCTGGATTCGAACCCGGGACCTTTACCTTACAGAGATGAGCGCTGTGTCAACGCCTAAACCGTTGCGGCCACCGACGCCCCTATGTTTTTTTATTATTGACATTTTGTAACCTTTTGAATTTTCTCTTATAAAGGTAAAGTGGTATGACCGATTTTAATAGAAAAACTTGTTGGTGGTACTGGATCAAAAATATTAAGACATGTGTCCAAGCGAATCTAATAGGCAACAAAAGCGAATGGACCCTAGGAGCCGAGAAAATAATATTTTAAGAATTTGATAATTAAAAAATATTGTTTTCTGCCTTGGTTTTATATATATTTCAATTTTATTGTGGTAAAAAAATTATGTATTTCAATATCTATTATTGCTGCCCATACTGAATACAATTTTGACATAGTGGCTAAGCGGCGTAGCAAAGTAAGTTAAAATATTTTTATGACTAGAATTTTTTTTTTCTTTTGAAAAATGGCAAAATGGAGGGAAAATTCAAAAGTTGGGGTTTAGATGGGAAGTTGGTGTCCGAGTAGGTAGAACAGGGGCGCATTTAGCAGAAGGTCGTGGGTTCGAATCCCGTTCGTGACACTGACTTTTTTATCTCGACCAAAACCTTAATTAAAGATTAATTAATTGAACTAGGAAAAAAGTTGATATTCCTTTTCTACACCACAAAACCTTTGCTTTCGCATTTTTCGACATCCAAAATCCAAACCGAAAAATATATCTGTAAGTAACAAGGAAAACGTACCACCAACCACCAATCGATATTTTTCTCAAATGTTTTGCAATCTTTTGCTGCCAAATGATTCCACTTTTCACAAATCATAAAAATCGCAAACCTGATGATAACTTTGATACGACTACATTGATCGACAGATACCTTATAGGGAACCTTAAAAAAAATTAAATATTTATATATTTTTGTAAAATATTGTTTACTGCCTTTGTACTGCTTTTATTATTTTAAAAAAATCAACCTCCTTTAATACGACGAACTGATCAAATATGTCCAATTATTATAATCTTGTAGTAATTAAAACAATAACTTAAATTTTATTGCCAGCAGATATGTTTTTTTTTTTTTTTTAAGCAAGAAACTAAGTAGATTCGTGTTTTTCTCCACAAAAATCCTTGAATACATTTTTTTGAGAAAATAAATAAATAATTTTTTTTATCCAAATATTTGTTTGAAAACTTTTTTTAAAACGTTACAGATTCCACGTAACGACATGCATTAAGCTTTCGTAAATAATTAAGAATAGGAGATATAAAATAAACCGTTTAGTTTTTATTTATGTCAACTTATTTTCCCTTCCATATAATGACATAAAATCTAAGCTTTATTCACAAAGGCTGAAAAGAGTAATTACACTTTCTAATAGTAATAACGTTGATTTGGATAAATTTATAGGTATAAATTTTTATAAATAGAATATTAATGAAATTAAAATCGTTCTTGCTTGAATCGTTATTGCTATGAAAATTCGTATCTAATAGATTTAAAGTGCTTACAACAAATTCTATATTTTTAACAAAAATGTTCTTTTACATACTTTACTGGATGCGCAGTTTGCTTTCTGCAGCGCTTTATGTATCTAATCTCATTTCATACAATCTTAAAAATTATTTTCTTATCAAAGGTAAAAAAAAAGAATCGACCTTGAAATACTTGCTCAACAAAGACAGAAACCGATATTTAAAAAAATATTATATATATTTAAATTAATTAAAAGTATTTGGATTTCCGATTATTTCCTTTTACTAGATAGATTTAAAATCTTTTTCCTAATTCATAACCGTTTTTATTTCATTTTTTATGTGTATGTGTTATGTCTGTGTTGTCTTTATGTTAATTTACTGGAATGCATCATATTTATTAGCGTGAAAGAAGGGGGTTGTTTTACCCCGCATGGAGGAATATCGAGTACTGGGGGAGTAAATGTGACCAATCATCTTTTTGTCTATCGAGTGTCGTGTTTTTGTTAATTTATTGAAATGGATGGAATTTATTAGCGTGAAAGGAAGGGTTTGCTTATAACCCCGGCCCGAGCAATATCGAGTACTCTGGGGGAGTGAATGTGACCAGACATCATTATTTCTATCGAGTGTCGTGTTTGTGTTTATTTATTGAAATGGATGGAATTTATTAGCGTGAAAGGAAGGGTTTGCTTATAACCCCGCCCCGAGGAATATCGAGTACTCTGGGGGAGTGAATGTGACCAGACATCATTGTTTCTATCGAGTGTCGTGTTTGTGTTAATTTATTGAAATGAATGTAATTTATTAGCGTGAAAGGAAGGGGTTGCCTATAACCCCACCCCGAGGAATATCGAGTACTCGGGGGACTAAAAGTGATCAGACTTCTACGTTTGTATCGGGTTTGTGTTTATGTTGGAATGAATGTAATTTATTAGCGTGAAAGGAAAGGGTTGTTTAACTCCACCGCGAGGAATATATCGAGTATTCTGGGGGTGTTTGATGTAAGTACGTATATGTAATGGTTTTTATCTATTTTCTATTTGTCAACCTGAGGTAAAAAGAGAGTCTAGTATTATAGGATATCGATATGCTCAAATGGCTGCATTTAAAATAAGATAGGCATGAAAGACGTGTTCTTTCCTTTGTTAAACGAGTATATTTTAAATTAGTACATTTTGTGAACTGAATTCGAATGTCAATTTCCATAAGAATAATAAAACCAAAAGTAGGCAAATTTTTGCTGAATCGCAAATAATAAAATAATAAAATTTAACACAGGTTTCCCAGAAAATTGATAAGTGAACAGGTTTAATTTATTAATTATTAATTGTAAATTAATTTTTTTTTAAATAATTTGAAAAAAAAATTCTGTAGTACATATTTTAGCCTTTCTCTTTGGCCTGATGTCAAAACCATATTTCTTCATTTAAGATTAAAATTGTTTTTCGAGTCTATTTTGAAAATTTGAATTTAATGAGGGCTATGAGGTAAAATCAATTGTTTTGAATGTAAAACTATGTGTCTTTTCAATGATTATTTACCAAAATTGATCTTATCGTAATTTGTGGTTATTTTTCTTATGGAATTTCAATACATGCAAATATCTATTGTGTTATACCAACAATTGTGGTTTTTTTCTTGCCATTTAGATAATTTTGTTGTTTAAATCGTCGATAAGAATTGAGAGTGAACGATAAGAGATAAAGAAAAATTTGGATTTCGAAACAGTCGAAGCAAGTAAAAAAGAAGAAACGCATCAAGTGCAGGTTGGTGAAGTATTATTTGTTATTATTTTACGGCTGTTTCAGCACAAAAAGATATTATAATAATAGTCAAATAAAACTGCTTAAAATTAAATTCACGTTATCATTTTACAAATATACATAAGTTTACGCTTAAATCTTGTGTCTCGTGGGATCGTTTCTTGGTATGGGTTTGTTTTCAAACCGTCAGAATGATCCATTTATTATAGATCAAAGATACAGAGGACATTCTTCATGACAATCGTTTCGGCAGGCATCACTATGAGAGACAAATGAACGTGTGCTCACCAGGATGATCGCATCCATTATAATGAACTTTTAAAAAAGAAATTCCATTCTGGTTAGAACTACTAATTACTAGTCTTTCGCTATAATGTAATAAAAAAATAATGAAGTCGTAAATAAATGATAAATATCCCTTTCCATCTATTAAATAATATATATATATCATCTCTCTCTCTCTCTCTCTCTCTCTCTCTCTCTCTCTCTCTCTCTCTCTCTCTCTCT